TATGTATATATATATATGAATATAGTAATATTAATATTATTTATTAATAAATATCTAAATACATATTAATTATATAAATTATTTATATTACAATGTAAAAATAATTATTTATGTAAAAATAATGAAATGAAACAAATATATTTAACATTTAAATATGTATTATATATTTACATTTATTTAAAATACTCAAATTTACACACATGTATAATAAAATACAAATGTCATATTTAAATGTTTAAAATATTTCACTAAATCAATTATAAGTACTATATAACAAATATAATTTTTATTTTCTCATGTTGTAAATGACGTACATATATTTTTATATTATTTTAAATAAATATAATCATATAAAATGATGATATGAAATGAATATATAGGTGTATATATATGAATTTAAATATGTACAAAATATTAAAATTATATTTTTTATTATAAAATGTAGGGCACATGTCCTGACATTACATAAATCCACATGAATTCTGTATTGCAAAATCTAATGCTAATGTATCAATGCTGTTGATAGAGCTGTAAAAACTGCATTTAACCCAGAATATTCCTTTAAATCTCTTATATTTTTGATTGGAAGAGCATCCAACAACAACATAAGCTGCAAACTTTCAACCAGTCTGCAATCAACACCCTATTCCAGATCAATTCCCAACAGCTTCAAGACCTGTCAGACTTACAGACATCCAGTTACAGATCGCCCGCAGCGAGTGGGAGAGCGCTTGTCGCGTCTTGCAAAGGTAAAAGTGACGTCATGAAAGCAATCGGCACTTGTTACGAGTGCCATGACTCACACGGATCTGATAAATAATGGAGTCTTGTGGCGGAGCAGAGAATCAAGCGGTTCGTTAATGCTGACAGAGGAGTCTCTCAAGAGTTCAGCCGAGCAATGAAACACTGTGTGTGTGTGTGTGACCCAGATGTGAATTAAAGCATCGACCCATCACTGCACAAGAACACAAAAGCACTTCCTGTGAGGAGCGGCGTGTGTACGTGAAATAGCAGATGAATGGCGGTCTACTCTCGCCGTCTGCGGTCCATCACACCTCATAAGCTTCATCTACAGACTCCGTAAATCCCCCATGCGCCACATCTGCCTACTTTTCTCATTTTCCCATTAATCTCGGCTCCCTTCCGCTCAATACATCAACGGCTGCTCTGTGTACGAGGAAAGCGAACTTTGCACCAAATGTGGGACTCCTGAAAGACTCGGATGAGATGTGGAATTACAAGAAAGCTGACTTAAAGATTTAGGTTCTTGACTTAAAAATTGGGTGTCACTACGGGTCTTAACTATATACAGAACAAAACAATAAAATATAATAATATACAATTAACTGTAATACAGTAGAATTATAATACAGTAGAAAACTAACAGCAAAGCAAACAAAGAAAGTAATGAAATGGTTTGGTTTGAAATGGATTACTCTTTATATATATATGGGGCATAAATAAATCCAAATAAAAATTTTAGACGTCGTAGTTACCTGGTAGTATCGTTGGACGTGTTCCTTTATGAAAGACGCATTGAGAACCCGTCCATCGATTGTCTTGACCACCACGAATTCGCCCAGTTCTGGAGGGCCGTTCCTCAGACAGTCGTGACTCTGGGACAGAGAAATCAAACAGATGATGGATTCAAACAGACAGTTGTAGCTCTAAAATCTGATTGGATGAGCCGAATTAATGGGCCAAAGCCACTTGCCAACCATAATAACCTAGAGGTAGATTTAGCCAATCTAGATTTCGACCAATCCCGGACCAGAGCTATGCATTTTAGACCACAATAAGCCACAAGATGCCAGATATTACAGTTATTTATTTATTCCCCATGATTAAGGTTTAAGTAACCCAAATCTCTAAAATATGATTGGATGAGCCAAACAAATTCGCCAAAGTGTGGAAGCCCATTTCCATCATAGCATTAAAAAGGGTAATTGCGACTATTTATCTCACAATTCTGACTTTTTTTTCACAGAATTGCATGAAATAAACTCATAATTATCAGAATTCTGACTTTTTCTCCGTTTTTTCTCACAATTCAAACTTTTTTCCTGCAATTGCGACTTCATATCATGCAATTTGGACTTTTCCACACAATTCTTACTTTTTAATCACAAATGTGAGTTTATCATGCAATTCTGACTTTTTCCATCGCAATTCTATTTTTTTTCTCGCAATTGCGAGTTTATATCACGTAATCCTGACTTTTCTCAGAATTGTGAAATATAAACTCGCGAATGCATGCTATAAAGTCAGAATTGCGCAGATATATACTCACATTTCGGAGAAATTAAGTCAGAGTTATGATATAAACTAAAAAAAATGAAGTGTATATATCTCGCAATTCAAAGTCAGAATTGTGAGATGTAAACTCGCAATGGCAAGAAAAAGTGAGAATTGTGAGATCAAAAGTTGCAATTACCTTTTTTTATTTTTATTTAGTGGTGGAAATGGACTTCCAGACCAAAGCCACTTGGCAACCATGATCACCATAATAATGAAAAAACATTCTCACCAGCAGGTTCTCTGGGAAGACATTATCACAATAGGAGCCGTCATCAAAGTTGACCTCGTAGTAGTTCTGCGTGCCGATGCCGGTGATGGTGCAGCGATAGAACCAACCGTTGCTGCTCCTGCCGATGACCTCCTGACCTAAAGACAGCTCGCGGGAGCTGTTTTTAACCTGCAGCGGAGGCAAAGCGTCAGTTTGAGGATCACCGTGTGCATCGAGATCCCTTCTATAGCAGCTACGCACCTTCTGAGTGGTCTGTTTGTGTTTGTGGCAGGTGATGGACACCACGTATGGCCAATCGGCCGGCTTCATGACGACTCCGGCGAGGAGGGCGCAGGTGACGTGGAAGGACGTGGAGCAGTTGTCCAACGAGCACTGGATACACGCGCCGAAGATCTGCTTGGTCGTCTTGTGGCAGTAGACGCACTTCTGCAAATCGTAACGAGGAAACATGAAACTTGAGTTGCAACCTTTGTAGCATGACAAACTTCCATACTCAATGACGAAAAGTGATTTTATCCATCAGGAAAAGGGCACTGGAGCCAAGACCGAATGGGAGTTCAGTGCTATAACGCTATTAGGCTAATGGTAAACAGCTAAAGAACGTCTTTTTTAATAAAACATTACAAATACAAACATTTATTAATGTGTGAACTACAATAAAACATCCAAAATGTTCACAAAGATAGTCAATTTTAGAAAAGTATAAAAACCCCCAAAGAAAAAGCATAAGAGTTAATAAAAAAAAAAACTACAAAGAAAAATAGAATAAACAAATAGAAATGGAGAACAAAGCAACAAACTAGTAAAATAAATAAATAAAATAAAAGACACAAACGAAAGAATGAAAGAACAAACAATCAAAAAGAAATAGAAACAAAAAGAACAAACAAACATATAAATGAATGAAAACACGTGTAGAGAAAGAAACAAACTAAAACAAATAAAAAAAAATTTTGCTTATAAAAATAAACAAAAAACAGAGAAAAGAATGAATGAAACAAACAAAACAAACAATGAATAAAATAAAGAAAACTAAATAAACAGCAAAAGAAAGAGTGAATGAAAGAAAAAGAAAAAGCACAAGCAAAAGAATGAATGAAGGAACAAACAAATAAAAACGAAAAAAATATATGAACTAATGGAAACAAAAGTAGAGGGAATGAGCTAAAAGAAACAAAAGAAAAAATAGAGAAAAGAAAAAAGGAAAACAGAAGTAGAAAGGAAAAAACTAAAACAAACAGAAAAAACTGAAAAGAATAAAAGGAGAAAAGAAACAAAGAATGAATGATAGAGCAAAACTAAAGAAAAGAAAAAAAATGAAAAAAGCACAAACAAAAGAAACAGAAGCAGAAAAACAAATATACATAAAAAAGCAAAACAAATGCAGAAAATGAACTAAAAGAACCAAAACAAAAAACTGATAAAAGATGAATGAAAGACAGAACTGAAAAACAGTCAAGAAAACAAAAAAACAAATTAAGAATATAATGATTAAAAACAAACAAACAGCCAAATAAAATAAAGAAACGAAACAAAAGAGAACAGAAACAACGAAACAAATGAACGAACACCAAGCAAATGAAGGAAAACAAACCAAAAAGCAGACATTCAGTAATAAACCAGATATTAAATGAAAACAAAGTGATATTATCATACCAGAACGGCGCCTGAGCCGAATGCCAATGCTAAACAACTATTTGGCTTTTGGCTAACATTATTTCCATGTGTCAGCTAAAACCAAAGTAATTTCAAGAGCGCAGCAGCAGCTCTGATGAAAGATTACAAAGATGAACATTTACTAACAAAGTGAACAGCAGAAATGTTCACAAACACAGTGCATTTTGATTCCACGTTGACTTAAAATGCAGAAATTGGGCCCGAATTTGTGGCACGAGAGTGTATTGAAAATCAATGCACTTGATATTTCAGCATTTCTTGCAAATATCCTCTCAAATGGAAACATGTTGTGTCCGTTCATCCCCGTCTCTCTCCTCTTCTCCTCCATTTCCGCATAAACCGCCTCCAAACGAGCGCACACACACACACAGAGGAATATCGACGGGAATAAAAATTCTTTATTAAATTGTCAATACTTCATTTCAACCCCCTGTGGCCAAGCGGCCGTAATGTACGATGGCCTTTCGATGCGGCGCCGGCTCGGAAATATTTCATCGGCCGGTGAAAGCCTCTGATTTATCATTCGCCAGGGATTGATCGCAAGACAGGCCAACGGACAAGAGAAGGGGAAAAAATGCGTGATTTACGAGCATCCAGCTCGCAGTTATTTATTCATACATCAAGAGCGTGGCGAGCGGGAAGATAAAGCGACCTCCTTTTAATCTACAATACGACGCTGTTTCTTGTTCTAGAGTGAAGCTGTGCAAATAACGAGACTAAGTGTTTGATGGTCTTTCGTTACTGGCACTGATTTCTAGCAAACCTGTGTGTTTCTGCTTGCTAATGGCGACTGCTGAAGTCAGATGCATGAACAGTATGAGAGGTTTATAGCATGTTTTTCATGTCATCGTGTGCTGAAGTTGCTTTGGGTTGTGTGTTTGTGCCGACGCATTGAGCAGCATTCAGACGCGCGGCGGAGGAGGAGAAACTTGCCTATATAATCAATGCAGTTCATTTAGCACAGTGAGCAATCACACCTGATTATTCAAGCATTGCACATCATTAATAATGCATCATATCCTCTGAGAAAGAGAGAATGACGGCGAAACAACAAAAGAAAACATGAAGATACAAACGAAATAAAAAACAGACTAATGGAACAGAGTGAAAGAACAAATAGGACAAAAGAAAGAAACTAAATGAATAAAACACAAATGAACAAATGAAAACACAGAAGGCAAACTAATGGATGAATTAGGGAATTAATGAAAAATGAAAAAGTAGAAGCCAACAAAATAATAAGAAACTGAAAGAGCAAACAAAAGAAAAACGGCCATCAAGAAACAGAAAAAATGTAAACAATAGAAAATGAAACTTAAACTTAAACAAATAAATAATTGAAGCATGAAAGAGACAAAAAAGAAAAACGAAAAAACAAAAGCACAAATGAAACAGAACAAATGAATGAGCGAAAAATTTACAAATTAAAATGAAACAAATGAAAGAAAACAACAACAACAAAAAAACAATAGGAAAGAAAAACAAAAGGAATAAAAAACAAAAATGAAACAAATTAGGAAAAAAATAAATAAAAGCAAAAAAAAGAAACAAACAAATTAGGAAAGCCAACAAAATAATAAGAAACTGAAAGAGCAAACAAAAGAAAAACGGCCATCAAGAAACAGAAAAAATATAAACAATAGAAAATGAAACTTAAACTTAAACAAATAAATAATTGAAGCATGAAAGAGACAAAAAAGAAAAACGAAAAAACAAAATCACAAATGAAACAGAACAAATGAATGAGTGAAAAATGTACAAATTAAAATGAAACAAATGAAAGAAAACAACAACAACAAAAAAACAATAGGAAAGAAAAACAAAAGGAATAAAAAACAAAAATGAAACAAATTAGGAAAAAAATAAATAAAAGCAAAAAAAAGAAACAAACAAATTAGGAATTAACAAAAAAGCATAAATGAAACTGAACAAACAAAAGAACGAGAGAACAATTTATGAACTAAAACGTAAAAATAAAAACAACAACAACAAAACAGCAAAAATGAGAGAAAAACAACTTAAGAAAAACAAACAAAGGTAATAAAAAAACAAAAACAAAAATGAAAAACAAATTAGGAATGAACAAAAAACAAAAGCAGAAATGAAACGGAACAAACAAACAAAGGAGTGAAAAATGTACAAATTAACTAAAAAAAGAGAAACAAATTTGGAATGAACAAAAACAAAAGTACAAGTAAAAAAATAAACAGAACAAATAAATGAATGGAAAATTTACGAACTAACTAAAGTAAAAAAAAAAAAAAAAGCATTAAAAAAAACAACAAAAAATGAAAAAGATAAGAAAAAAAAAAACAATTGAAAGGCCAATAAATGAAAATACAAACAAAAACAGACAAAATATACAGAGTGAAAGAACAAATAATACAAAATAAACTAAATAATGAATAAAAAAATAATAAAAACGCAAACTAACAAATTAATAAAAAACAAACAAAAGCAGAAGCCCAACAGGAAAAAACACCAAAAAATAAATAAGAAGAATGAAAGAAAACGGAGAAAAAAAACCCAGAAAAGTTGAAAAACAAACGAAAGGCCAGTAAGGAACAGAAAGAACAAACAACTGAAAACAACAGTAGAAAATGAATGAAACTACAACATGAACAAAAAAAGAATGAACGAAAGAAAGAAATAAACAAAAGCACAAACGGAAAAATGAAAAAGAAGAACATAAACAATGGAGCAAATCAATGGAGGCGCCAACGAGCGAGTGAATGAAACCAAAGTATAAAACGAAGCAAAAACACAGAATGAACAAAGAAAGAAAAGGAGGATTGTCATTTCATCTGTGTGTCTTGACTCACCAGACTCTTCCTGGTGTCGGGGACGGCAGTCACGTCCACAGGCTCTCGCTCCACAGCGTTAACGAAACGAGCCTCGGCCACAGCGACGGCGCAGATCACGTGAACCCACCTGCGGACGGGACACCAAACGCACGGTTTATATGCAGAGTTCGTTTGGCAAACGAGCATGAACAGATGCCGCGTAGCTTCTTGTAATTGACATGCGATATGAGAGATATTAGACCTGTCATCTGTGGTTTTCTTCAAAGCTCCTCCTCTTAAACTGCACAAACAGCAGGCCTGCGACGATAAACAACACCAATGAACACAATAATGAACAAAACACTTCAGCGCAACAATAAATGTGCCATATAGAGTTTTATAAAACAAAGAGTTCCGGTCCTTGATTCTGATTGGTTGAGCCGCGTTCTAAGCTGTTGTAAATTACTCTACAAACATATACCTTTGTTTACGTTTGTCTGTTGCTTGGCAACCACTTTGTTGGAACCACAACTGTTTCTGAGGAACTACATTGTTTGGTGGAAGAATAAAGTTTTTATTTATATCATTACACTGTATTTGCTCTGTTTTATTTTGTGAAACCTTACTACGTATATGGAATAACCGTTTTATAAAAGCAATAAGCCCCGTGAAGCCGTGGTTTACAGTGAATTTATAACAGCTAAGGGGGTTACTCCGCTTTGTGTTGTACCTAACAACGCCCCTTAGCTGTTATA